TCTGGTAATAGGGAACTCGTGTGGTTATAAAATAAACTTAAATTTCAATTATTGGCATTATCGTCATTAGTACACGGCTAATTGTTTATTATTAATACGAGATGTATTCACCCAATTTCGTGTACGGTGATGAAGGACTGGTAGTAGAATTTTCCCACAATCAGTTGAGTAGAGCTGACGTTTCCATTCAATTTCGCATAGCCTTTTAAGGTGAAGGAGAAAGAGTAGAAGAAGTAGGAGGAGGAAGAGGACTAGAAACTCTAGGATTTGGGGGAGGTTGTGATTGAAAAAATAGAATTTTTTCGAAAAATTACTAACTTTTATAAAGTGTGGCGTATCCATTTGTAGACCTTTCTTTCCGATCGGTTATAATGCCACGAGTTTGACAACTTTGCCGTCCTCTCTGCTCCTGTAGACTCAACCTACCCATTCTTCGGTGGTGCCAACACCCAAGAATTGTCCCTACCTCACATCGATTGGTCAGATCTTGGCCGGATCGGACCAATCGGGCGAGAGGAGGTAGGGAGAACTCCTGAGGAGGCATTGACGTGGGCATTTTCCAGTTGTCCAAGTCTCCGCCCACTCGACCTTCCGTTGGTCCCTGTGGGCACGAATGATGCTTGCATCTCGCCCTCTCCACCTCGGCCGGCCAATCAGCTTTCGCGCCAGCCGGTCTATTGCCCAGCTCATCAGCCCATGCCGGCTCGTTTTGACGTCACTTTTATCCTCTGCCAGGATTGGCCTAAAACCGCCAGACGTCCGAATCCCTTCGAGGCCGGCCTCGAATTGGCCAAATTGGAGCTGGCCAAGTTGACGCGCTACTTCTCCGAGAGTGGCAGCGGACGCTGATCGGCAACATGAACTCTGAGCAAGTGGCAGATGAAACTAGGGAATCAGGAAATTCCGCTTTAATGTGAGTTGAGTCAGGCTGGTGGAGCACAGATGGCTGAATCATACCAAAACCACATGAATAAGCGAATCGAGTAAATCTGATAAAGCTGAGAAGGAAATAATTGCATACTTAATGTTTGATTGAATAATTGAATGAATGACTGATTGAATAATTGGCTTAGTGATTGATAAAATGCTATGGTCAATCTAGGTCGTATGAGGTGATGAATGAACGATTGTTATCATTTTCCCATAATCTGATGAATAGAATAATG